ATCTTTTGTTTGTAAGCCGCTTTGGGATTTATCGGAATAAAAAGCGGCATGGAAATATAATCAATCGATCGATTGCAGCTCGGATGACTTCAAAAGTGGACGAGACGAATTCGTGGAGAACACTATCAATGCCTATTTGCCCAAGATGGTTAAGTTCTGCCTCCGAACAGATGCACATGCTTCTGAAGAACAGCTGCACAGGGGTGGAGATCTGCTTCTGCACTCAGGTCATGCCCGTGGCCTTCTCGTTGGGGCATCTGGTTGGCCACTGTGAGAACAGGGCTAGATGGGCCAGTGGCTGGATCCAGCAGGCCCATCTTCCCTTCTTATCCTGCAAAAACAATCTTCTTGGAAGGTCCATTCCACATGATGCCAGAAATTGCCTTAACATTGCAGCACTTACCTTCTGATGCAGTCAGGCCCTCTCTCTAGAATCATAGAATTGGAATAGACCACAAGGGCCATCAAGTCCAACCCCCTGCCAAGCAGGAAACACCATCAGAGCACTCCTGACATATGGTTGTCAAGCCTCTGCTTAAAGACCTCCAAAGAAGGAGACTCCACCACACTCCTTGGCAGCAAATTCCACTGTCGAACAGCTCTTACTGTCAGGAAGTTCTTCCCAATGTTTAGGTGGAATCTTCTTTCTTATAGTTTGGATCCATTGCTCCGTGTCCGCTTCTCTGGAGCAGCAGAAAACAACCTTTCTCCCTCCTCTATATGACATCCTTTAATATATTTGAACATGGCTATCATATCACCCCTTAACCTCCTCTTCTCCAGGCTAAACATGCCCAGCTCCCTTAGCCGTTCCTCATAAGGCATCGTTTCCAGGCCTTTGACCATTTTGGTTGCCCTCCTCTGGACACGTTCCAGTTTGTCAGTGTCCTTCTTGAACTGTGGTGCCCAGAACTGGACACAGTACTCCAGGTGAGGTCTGACCAGAGCAGAATACAGTGGCACTATTACTTCCCTTGATCTAGATGCTATACTCCTATTGATGCAGCCCAGAATTCCATTGGCTTTTTTAGCTGCCGCGTCACACTGTTGGCTCATGTCAAGTTTGTGGTCAACCAAGACTCCTAGATCCTTTTCACATGTACTGCTCTCAAGCCAGGTGTCCCCCATCTTGTATTTGTGCCTCTCATTTTTTTTGCCCAAGTGCAATACTTTACATTTCTCCCTGTTAAAGTTCATCTTGTTTGTTTTGGCCCAGTTCTCTAATCTGTCAAGGTCGTTTTGAAGTGTGATCCTGTCCTCTGGGGTGTTAGCCACCCCTCCCAGTTTGGTGTCATCTGCAAATTTGATCTATTGCCTTTCCTTTTCCAACAAGCCTTTTAAGTGAAGGTGTTTTGTTTTTTTATCCCTGGCAGTCTAAATAAAATTGTTCTATGCCAGTTAAGAATAATACAGTGGTACCTCGGGCTAAGTACTTAATTCATTCCGGAGGTCTGTACTTAACCTGAAACTGTTCTTAACCTGAAGCACCACTTTAGCTAATGGGGCCTCCCGCTGCCACCGCCGGAGCACGATTTCTGTTCTCAACCAGAAGCAAAGTTCTTTCTGGGTTAGCAGAGTCTGTAACCTGAAGCGTATGTAACCCGAGGTACCACTGTAATAATAATAATAATAATTTATTATTTATACCCTGCCCATCTGGCTGGGTTTCCCCAGCCACTCTGGGCAGCTTCCAACAAATTATTAAAATACAGTGTTCTGTTAAACATTAAAAGCTTCCCTAAACCGGGCTGCCTTCAGATGTCTTCTAAAAGTCTGGTCGTTGTTCTTCTCTTTGACACCTGGTGGGAGGGCGTTCAACAGGGCGGGTGCCACTACCAAGAAGGCCCTCTGCCCGGTTCCCTTTAACTTGGCTTCTCGCAGGGAGGGAACCGCCAGAAGGCCCTTGGAGCTGGACCTCAGTGTCCGGGTAGAACGATGGATGTGGAGATGCTCCTTCAGACATACTGGACCAAGGCAGTTTAGGGCTTTAAAGGTCAGCACCAACACTTTGAATTGTGCTCAGAAACGTACTGGGAGCCAATGTAGGTCTTTCAAGACCGGTGTTATGTGGTCTCTGCGGCCGCTCCCAGTCACCAGGTTTTCAATGTCGGTGGGTTTATTGGTCAATTGCTTTGAGGTGCTTCACAAGAATTTTTTTTTTAAATAATGGCACAATTTTTACATGTAGCACCAATCACATCTGGAACAAGGCACAGTGAACACGCAAAAAGCCAGCGGGGTTTTTTTTTCTTGGTTACATTTATTTCTATAAATTTGTACAAAAATCTTTTGTTTTTCAATAATGTACAGTATTTCCACAAAATGCCCAAAGAATTGAGCATATTTGTCCTCTATACATGTTCAGGATCACAGGGGAACAAGAACTCGGGAACCGAAACCCCCGTTTTCCACGTTACCCAAAGGCACATTTTAAGAGCTTTGATCGTTCTCAATGATTAAAACAATTGAAGGCGGCAGGTTACACATGCAATAGTGCAATACGCTTAAATATATATATATATATTTAATATATATGTATGCAGACATGGGGCTTTGAATATATTTCTCTACGAAGCATCAGTCAACATCCATGTAAACATTTAAAAAGTCAATACTTTGTGCATAAGAGCTACTTTATATACATTCATCACTGAATTGAATAATAATCATCAGGTTCTTCAAAAGCCAGAGAAATCCTCAGAGTTTACAGGTGCGACGTTTTGCCAAAAAGTGTTTTATCTTCGAGGGTTCCTGCTAGATTTAAACTCTTCTCTTTCCCGTTTCTGGGTCACCGACAGAACTCCTATGCTTTCAATGGGTGCGCGGCTAGGGAGAAACTGCTTAAGTTATATACACGCAGGCCTAACAACGTGAAAGGACCTTTGCAAAGGAACACAAGCCAAAGGAACATGTTTTCTGCCCCAGAGAATTTTCCAAGTCCACACATGGCTACCCTCAAAGAAACCTGGGAACTAGAGTTTTCTCAGCGTGCTGGAAATTGAGAACGCTGTCTGGTCTGCTACTGGTCCCAGGATTCCTTGTGGGGGGAGTATAGAGCTGTAACTGTTAAAAGTGGCATAAATGTGCTATAAATGGATATCTGGGAAAAGGTTAAAAAACCCAAAAATGAGTAGTTAATTTGGAGGTTTGAGAACTTTCTGCTGTATATCTAGTTTTTGAATCTTACTCGTTTGATGACTGGCCCAACATTGGAAGTCATCTTTTGTAAATATGCATTTATCTATCTGAAAAAGCACTTTTCTATCTTGGGGCAGTGGACCTTGGGGCAGTGGAGGAGACTCTAGGAAAAGAGGGAGAAGAAAGAGTGGGAGGCAAGGTAGAATGAGCAAATACCTATTTTCGTTTCAGCTGCGGACGACTCTCCAAATCATGGGTAGGCAAACTAAGGCCCGGGGGCCGAATCCGGCCCAATTGCCTTCTAAATCTGGCCCATGGATGGTCCGGGAATCAGCATGTTTTTACATGAGTAGAATGTGTGCTTTTATTTAAAATGCACCTCTGGGTGATTTGTGGGGCATAGGAATTTGTTCTTTTTTTTTTTCCTTTCCAAAATATAGTCCGGCTCCCCACAAGGTCTGAGGGGCAGTGGACCGGCCCCCTGCTGAAAAAGTTTGCTGACTCCTGCTCCAAATGCTGCTGGACTATAGTCCCTCCACATCCCTGATTTTTGACAATGTTGGCTGGGGCCAATGAGAGATGGAGTCCAGCATTCAGGTCTCCCATCCCTGGTCTAAAGGCTTCACAGAATAGGTGTGTTCTTGGGAGGGATTTTGAATGGGGTAGCCGGAGAGGAAGGGTGGAATAATTTAAGAGAGCAGAGAACCTCTGGGGAGCTGAGTTGTTGGAGGGGAAGGAAAGCCTTTGGGTGATGAAATAAGGGTAGAAAGGGCAGGGTGACCTTCAAATCAGGGACTGGGAACCTGTTTCACAGCCTGTGGAACTGGAGGGAGCAGCTCCCATATTATGCCAGCGGTAGCCGGGGCCAGAGGCAACTGCAGACACGGCAACAAATCTGAATTTTACCTTTGCAGAGTAGGCTTCTTTCTAGACAAACACACACACATTTCTCCATCCAGACAAGCAAGGGGTATTATCAGAGGTCAAGGATGCGCACTCCAGCCAAGCAACTGGAGGAGGGTGGAAGTAAGAGGTAGGGTTGCAGAGCAGCTACAGCCTGGGGGGAGTCTTAAGGGCCAAACAGAGGAGACTTAAGGGCCGCATGCACTTGGCCCCTGGGATGGGGAACGGGCAAAGAGGTAGAAGGCGGATTTCCCCTTTTAGGCGCTCCAATAACAGGGAAAAGCTAAGCCTCGTGATTTTTCTCCCACTCCTGTACCTGTTAAAAGCACAGGAAGAAGAAGAGGTGTTTGGATTTGATATCCCACTTTATCACTACCCTAAGGAGTCTCAAAGTGGCTAACAATCTCCTTTCCCTTCCTCCCCCACAACAAACACTCTGTGAGGTGAGTGGGGCTGAGAGACTTCAAAGAAGTGTGACTGGCCCAAGGTCACCCAGCAGCTGCATGTGGAGGAGCGGGGAAGCAAACCCAGTTCACCAGATTACGAGTCCACCGCTCTTAACCACTACACCACACTGGCTCCCTGTAGCTTCACTGTAGAAAAGAAGTTCGCAACCCAGTTATTCTCTCATACCCACATGCGTGCACACACACACACAGCGTAGCGTAATTGTGGCTCATTACAAGCACAAAGGGACGCGGGTGGCACTGTGGTCTAAACCACTGAGCCTCTTGGGCTTGCCGATCAGAAGATCGGCGGTTCGAATCCCCGCGACGGGGTGAGCTCCTGTTGCTCGGTCCCTGCTCCTGCCAACCTAGCAGTTCGAAAGCACGTCAAAGTTCAAGTAGATAAATAGGTAGCGCTCTGGTGGGAAGGTAAACGGCATTTCCGTGCGCTGCTCTGGTTTCGCCAGAAGCGGCTTAGTCCTGCTGGCCACATGACCCGGAAAAACTGTCTGCGGACAAACGCTGGCTCCCTCGGCCAGTAAAGAGAGATGAGCGCCGCAACCCCAGAGTCGTTCGTGACTGGACTTAACTGTCAGGGGTCCCTTACCCTTTTTTACAAGCACAAAAGTTGCGCCTGCCAATTGCCGGTTCTTGGTTTTGCTTGAAAATATCGCTGGCTTTTCCAGCATTTCTTTGGGAGTCACACAAAGGAGCGTGCCATCTTTAAAAAGGGCCAGATCTCCACAAAGACAACCGACATGAGAAGAGCCAAAGAAAAGAGATTTGTGGGGACCAGCAAGGTCCTTTTTCAGAGAAGGTCGTTGATTCCCAGCCTCATTTACACAACAAGGTATAAATGGAGGTGGGAGTGAAATGGGACAAAAGAATTTGCATTGTTTGTGCTTTCAGGAGGGGCCTTTCTCAAACAGATACCCCCTTGTGCTACAAAACATATGTTGGGAAAAAAGCAGTAATGTAGCAATAGGAGTTGCTACAGCACCAGTGGCAAAGGGAAGAAAAACCCAGTGCGGACACAGAAATGAGTATGGATTGCAGAACAAACAAATGTGGGCTTTGGAGTTTGCAGAACCAGGAATCAGAGGGAGCTGCCTGTGCAATGTCCGTCTTTTCTATGGAATAACGAGGACTAGCTTTCTCCAGCTGAAATAGCAAACCTTGCAATGGGCGATTCAGAATCCAGAAACGGCCCGTGCTTCCCCAAACACTCTTGCTTTCAACTCCCTTTCTTCCTACCCACTTTGGTCCATCTTCCCTTCTGCTGTTAAAAATCAGCACGAAGGAAGAAATTGTGCAATGCACAGAGCCCCTTCGCGCTCCCGCTTCCCCCCAGGAGAAACCCTCCATTTACCACTGAATCCGAGCCAATGTCAACAATTTCTACAGATTGCCGTCGGTCCTGATTCAGAGGCAAACAAGCCTTTTCCCGGGGAAAGCCCTGGGGCGAATGGAAAACGACTTGGGTCCACTTGCTTTCAAGGCTTGGGACACACAGCAGTGTGGACAAACCCATCATCGGCTTGCACAAAATCCCACACAGGGTGGGGGTTAAACAGGGGCACAGAGTCCTTGGCCTAGAGGGCCGGTCTAGCTCCACAGACAACCCACATGGCCGCCGAAGGCAGCAATGTTGTTTCAGCGTGCCAATGAGGCAGCGGTCAGTTCACACTTGCTACATTAGATGCGTAGCCCCGCTGGCAGCGCGTGAGTCTCTGAACCTCAGGGTCACGGGTTTGAAACCCCCATTGGGCAAAAGATTCCTGACTCTCGTGGTCCCAACCCTACAGTCCTCTGATTCTTCTAATCCCCTGGGACACTTTTCCTGCATTGTGCAGTGCCACCAGTAGGAGGCAGCGTTAGCATTCAGGGCCAGGGAAACCATCCACCCAAAAATAAGTGCTTTGCACCCACCCTGTCGTTTGGTTTTGCGAGCAGCGAAACTTTGGAGGCAGCCAGGCTGTGCAGCAGAGCACACACGCCTTGCTAACTCCTAACTTAAATCTCTGGGGATCTCCAACTAATAAGGAATTCTCTGCCTTCAGAGCCATGTCAGCAAAGAGAAGTCGGTGCTGAGCTACATGGGCCCATAGCTTGAGTCGACTTGGGGCAGCGTCCAATGTCCAAGTCTAACAAAAGGCAAAACAAGTGTCTTCCCTCGGGGAGAACTTAAAAACCGAGGGCCATTGCTGGAGCCGGGCGGATCTGTCCCAAAGAGAAAATACAATGGTTTCTAGCAAGGTCTAAAGTTTTGGTAGTTAGACAACTTTTTTTTTTCCTTTTATCCTTTTAAAAGCTCACGCGTGCATTCGCACTCGCCTCCCCGATTCGCAGACCAGAACACACACAGAAAACAACTTGGGCTCCGGCAGAGAATTGTCTTTTGAGGCCGCGTTTGCCAAACGACTCGCTGCCAGAAAAAGTGCGCAGGAGCGAAAGCACCCGGTCCCCTCCCCGTGGCGGTCAGTTGACTTCCAAGATCTCTGTCTCCGGCAGGCCAAATTTCGTCTTGTACTTGTCAAAGAGTCTGATCAGAGAGCTGACGTAGAGGCTGTGATAAAAGTCTACTTCCTTCTGGCTCGGGTTATCGACTTTGGGGACAGTGATGGGCTCCCCGACTGAAATGGAAAAAGGGGAAACAAGATAAACGTTAAGAAGCATTTGCTCTACGTGGGGCTGCCCTTGAAGCTGTCCCAGAAACTCCAGCGGGTGCAGAATGCTGCAGCGAGGCTCCTCACGGGGTCTCTGCCATGGGAGCATATTCACCCAGTGCTTTTCCAGCTGCACTGGCTCCCGGTGGAGTACAGGGTCAGATTTAAGGTGCTGGTTTTGACCTTTAAAGCCCTTCATGGCCTAGGACCCCCGTACCTATGGGACCGCCTCTCCGGTATGCCCCATGGAGAGCCTCAAGGTCCATAAATAGCAACACCCTAGTGGTCCCAGGCCCTAAGGAAGTTAAATTGGCTTCAACCAGAGCCAGGGCCTTTTCAACGCTGGCTCCGGCCTGGTGGAAAGCTCTGTCTCATGAGACCAGGGCCCTGCAGGATCTGATTTCTTTCCGCAGGGCCTGTAAGACAGAGTTGTTCCCCCTGGCCTTCGGCTCGGAGCCAATTTGATTCCCTCTCCCTCTTTCTTTTTTATTTTTCCTTTCTCCTCCTGTGATGAGGCTGCATTTTAATATTTTAATGTTTCAATATTTTAATGTTGTATTTTAATCTTGTTTTTAAGTTGCATTCATTCAACTTGTTTTTATTATTGCTTGTTAGCCGCCCTGAGCCCGGCCTTGGCTGGGGAGGGTGGGGTATAAATAAAAATTATTATTATTGTTGTTATTTGTTCATCGCCTTGTTTCAGTGCGACGTACAGTAAAAACAGCTTGAAAGCACAAAAAAAGGCAAATACGTTTATAACAGGCACCCACAAACCTGGCCCTCCAGCTGTTTCTGGACTACAACTCCCATCATCCCCAGCTAACAGGACCAGTGGTCAGGGATGATGGGAACTGTAGTCCCCAAACAGCTGGAGGGCCGAGTTTGGCCATGCCTGGTTTAGACGAAAACCTGGAGAGCACCAGGTTGGCAAAGACTGATGAACGGAACGGAAGGCGTTGTGTACGTTTCCTTCCGCCAACTGCGATCCTTACCGACAGTGGTGATGGGCTTGGGGTATGGCAGCAGCCCCCAGCTGTTGGGGGAGAAAAGTCCTTGTCCGTGGAAAACGCAAGGGGCCACGCCAATGTACTTCTGGAACTTCTTCTGAACCCAGCGCCCCCACGATCCCTCCTCAAAGATCACCTGCTTGTAGACTTCGTTCTCGCCAAAGGAATACACAGGAACCAAATCCGCTCTGGAAGAGAGGTGTGAAAATCAGGGTGGACTTGATTTAAATCAAACCGATTTAAATCACTAGTCAGTAAGACTTGATTTAATTTAATTTTTTACAGAAAGACTCATTCCTCGCTGGTATAACCTTAATATTTACAAACCAGATGAAGGTTTCGTTTTTGGAATAACAACTTTTCAGAGCAGTTTTCACAGTTATATCGAAAATTACCGATTTGGTTACACTATTAGAAATACACAGAGACAGATAATTATGAAATTATGGTGAGGTTTAGTAAGTTAACTGCTTATATTTGGACAACTTTTCTGCTGTACTCTATTGGAAGGAGAAAAATAATCATTTCCTCAGTAACAATTTAAACAATTTACTTAACTAAAACAATAACATTATAGCATATGTATCCATGTTTGTTAACTGATGTGGTTAAATGATTAAAAAAAAAACTTAGACTGAGTTTTAGCACACATGAAAAACTTGAAACAAAGCCTTATTTCCTGATGAATAGCCTTTGGACTATAATGTAACTTAAATAGAAAATTATCTTTAGAAAGATTTTCCCTCCAAAAGCATTTTATTTTAAAAATCCAATTTAAATTTAAAAAATCTGATTTAAATTTTTAAAAATCCAATTATTTTTTAAAAAATTATTGATTTTTATCCACCTTGGTGAAAATGGTATCCCTTTTTTGTTTTTTGTTTTGCATGCTCTATCAAGCAGAATAAGCATTTCACGTCATTTCACTTCACTTTTAGTTTGTGTATACCTCCTTTTTATATTGCTATACTCGAGGCAGGCTGAAGAAACAGCAGAGATCGCACACCTTTTTAACAATCTGATCCAATACAAAAATGCCATAATAACAACATAACTTTAAAACAAAGTAATATGTTATCTAAGAGACCACTGTAAACAGATGGAAACATTGGCAGGATTTTGATTTCACATGTAGCGTAACAATTACCATGGATAATATGGACTGATATAAAAGTTAGAATTTGGAAGAAGATGCAGTTTTAAAGGCTTAAAATGGGACCCTATGGGGGTGGGTGGGAGGAAGTCCTGAGATTTGGAGAATTCTCTGTACGTATATGGATATATATTTGGATTTTTATAACTTTGTATTGGTAAGAGCAAATAAAAATGTTTTTTTAAAAAAATAAAAATAAAGTAATATTCAATAATCCATTCGGATATAATAGTACGCTTAAAACTTTAAGCGCTTTATTTATTTTTATTAAAGAGTCTATATTGCATTTATAAATTTTAAATTTATTGCTGTACATTGTTTTAAATGCTTGTTTTACTTCTGGGATTGTACCCCCAAGTGTGTTTTATAAGCTGGTCTCCAACCATAATAAATTATCTCTATCTATAAGAGTACGCAATCAAATTAAATATCGGCAAATAATAATTACATTCACTCTTCTAATAATTACAGTAAATGATTTCTAAACTACAATCGATAAAAATAACAGGGCATAAAATAACACAATACGAATCGAGAAGCAATTGCGTATCTACTGATCACAGTGAAAGATGAGGAAGTGAAATTGGTAATGATACATTGGGCAAAAGACTTTGGATATAATATACAGCTTGAAGAAAGGTTGTGGAATGAAAGGATAAATTTTACAGCCTGTAATGCTTTGAAGGAGAATATGTTGAAAATGATGTATAGATGGTATATTACACCAGAGAAATTAGCTAAAACGTTTAAGACAAATAATAAATGTTGGAAATGTAAAGAAAAAGAAGGAACATTTTATCATATGTGGTGGGAATGTAAAAAAGTAAAGAACTTCTGGGAAATGATATATAATGAGATGAAAAAGATGTTGAAATATACATTTAAAAAAAAACAACCAGAAGCATTTTTACTTGGTATTATAAGTCAAGACATTAACAGGCAAGATGTTAAATTGTTTTTATATGCAACAACTGCGACAAGAGTATTGTTAGCCCAGAAATGGAAACAAGAAGAAATTCCGACGAAAGAAGAATGGCAGACGAAATTAATGGACTATGCAGAATTGGACAAAATGACAGGAAGGATTCAAAACCTGCGGGACCAGAGATTTACAGAAGATTGGAAGGAGTATATGAATTATTTGAAGAGCAACTGTAATCAACAAATTACGCTAGTAGGACTACAAGAAGTTTTGTAAGGAGGAATATACGAAGTGTCACAAAGTAGAAAAAGATAGAGATATTGGTTATGAGTTTGAGATGTAAAAGGGTTATGGGTTTGAGATGTAAGAAATGTATACTGAGAGATGAGATTGGAAAATTTTCAGACAGGATTGATGGAAGTCAAAAATTTGAATAAGATGTAAAAGTATGTTTAATTACTGTTGAAAATGATATGTTTAAAAAAATCTAATAAAAAATTATATATATATGAATATATATATATATATATATATATATATATATATATATATATATGAGAGAAAGATTAAGGTCGTTCTCTGCTTACCCGTGGCGCAACGCCAGCTTCACAAAGCCCTTCCGGTGCCTCAGGGTCACCGAGTTTTTGCCGGGGGCGCAGTTCAGGGACTCGGCAGCGCCCCCCACCACAATCACAATGGCGTTGCCGCTCCCGTTCTTGGAAAGGATGTAGTCTATGGTGTCCCGGTTCACAGGGCAAATACCTGGACGTTCGGAGAGAGAAAGAACTTTCAGACTAAGGGGAGAATCATAATTGTAGAAGGGACCTTAAGCGTAATCTACTAGCCCAACCCCTTGCAATGCAGGAATATGCAACTTTCCCATACCTGGGAAACCAGGGCAGAATTTAGGTTTGATGAAGCCGATCAGAAGGTTGGCGGTTCGAATCCCCACGACGGGGTGAGCTCCTGTTGCTCGGTCCCTGCTCCTGCCAACCTAGCAGTTCGAAAGCATGTCAAAGTGCAAGTAGATAAATAGGTACCGCTCCGGCGGGAAGGTAAACGGCGTTTCCGTGAGCTGCTGCGGTTCGCCAGAAGCGGCTTGGTCATGCTGGCCACATGACCTGGAAGCTGTACGCCGGCTCCCTTGGCCAATAAAGCGAGATGAGCGCTGCAACCCCAGAGTCAACTGTGACAGGACCTAATGGTAGGGTTCCCTTTACCTTTATAAGCTACTGAAGGTAATGGAGCCCTTTATATGTCCAGCTGTCCTTTGTCAACAACAAATGGTCGCTGTTTTTGTGTTGGATATATGCTATATGGTCATTTATGGACCTAATAGATATCTCAAGCCATTTGCACATGTTGCCATGCAACCAGTCTATGCAGAATGTAGGCATCCTATATACAGAAAGAAGCAAACCAGTGATATTTTAGGGAGCAGGCTAGCAGGCGGGGCCAGCGCTGTCCGCAGACACTTCCGGGTCACGTGGCCAGCGTGACAAGCTGCATCTGGCGAGCCAGCGCAGCACACGGAACGCCGTTTACCTTCCCGCTAGTAAGCGGTCCCTATTTATCTACTTGCACCCGAGGGTGCTTTCGAACTGCTAGGTTGGCAGGCGCTGGGACCGAGCGACGGGAGCGCACCCCGCCGCAAGGATTCAAACCGCTGACCTTTCGATCGGCAAGTCCTAGGCGCTGAGGCTTTAACCCACAGCGCCACCCGCGTCCCTTGGCTAATACAAATAGCCAAGGGCAAACAGACTGGGCAGTTCTCCAGATCTTTCCACACCACTGGCCTCAGCAGCGAAGGTGAGGGAGAGGAAGCAAGAAACATGCAATGGGGGGGGGGGGGCGAGAGGCTCTTTAATCCTGGCCAGGGGTCCTCCAAGGTCCCCATCTGGTGGCTTCCAAAGAGGCTGAGGGCCTAAGCAAGCGGCCAACAGCCCTGCTTAGAAGCTTCTCCGTCTGGTCAGTGAGAGAGAGGAGGATTGGTCTGAGAAGATATTGAATTATTAGGTTTGAACCATTTGGGGCAATTAAAATGTTAAAAAAAACCTTGTGGAAGGAGGAGTGTTAAGGTACAGTGGTACCTCGGGTTACAGACGCTTCAGGTTACAGACGCTTCAGGTTACAGACTCCGCTAACCCAGAAATAGTACCTCGGGTTAAGAACTTTGCTTCAGGATGAGAACAGAAATCGTGCTCCGGCGGCGCAGCGGCAGCTGGAGGCCCCATTAGCTAAAGTGGTGCTTCAGGTTAAGAACAGTTTCATGTTAAGAACGGACCTCCAGAACGAATTAAGTACGTAACCAGAGGTACCACTGTATATAGAAGTGTAAGGTAAAGGTAAAGGACCACTGGACGGTTAAGTCCAGTCAAAGGTGACAATGGGGTTGAAGCGCTCATCTCGCTTTCAGGCCAAGGGAGCCAGCATTTGTCCGCAGACAGCTCTCCAGGTCATGTGACCAGCATGACTAAACCGCTTCTGGTGCAACAGGATGCAGTGACGGAAACCAGAGCGCACGGAAGCGCCGTTTGCCTTCCCGCCACAGTGGTACCTATTTATCTACTTGCCCTGGTGTGCTTTCGAACTGCTAGGTTGGCAGGAGCTGGGACAGAGCGACGAGAGCTCACCCCGTCACACAGATTTGAACCGCCAACCTTCCGATCGGCAAGCCCAAGAGGCTCGGTGGTTTAGACCACAGTGCCACCCGTGACTTACTGCGGTGTTGAGAAAGCACCGTGTCGGCAGGTTTTCGAATCCTTACCCCCAGACATCAAGTAGTCCCTCAAAATGGGCATCCTGAAATTCCCGGCTAATGTCGCGAGGTATGGCCGAATCCCAGGGAACTTCTGGCTCACGCCTGTGGCTTCTGTGCTAAAGTTGCAGAAGGCGCCCAGCCCCATGATGCCGTGCGGATGGTAACCGAAGATGTAATTCCTGTGCGTCGCCAAGTTGTGGGTTTTTACGAGCTGAGGAGGGAGAGATAAAATGAGAGACAGAGAGATAAAATGAATGGGTTTTTACGAGCTGAGAGACAGAGAGATAAAATGAATGTAAAGCTACTTCACCGGAACAGAAGAAATGCAAGCTACTTCCACTGAAATGGGGAGAAAACTTGGCCCCTTGAGACGGAGGGGAGAGAGACAGAGGTCTTGGCAGTTTGTCTAGCTCAGGAATGGCAACTTGATCTTGACCACGGCAGCTCAGTTTACACGCCCTAAGAATTCATAAGCCCCACGTTGCTGTTCCAGCCCCAGATAGCTAGCTAAGCCGTCAAGAACAAAAACAGAAGAAAACCCGTCCGGTTGAACAGCCTTCTTTCCTTTGCTGTTGCATAAGAAAAACAAAAGGCTCTCCATCACAAGAAAAATACGATAATGACGCTCCCCGCTTAAAACGGGGGGCGCCCTTTGTGTGGACGCGTGCAGCCCCTAGATCTGGAGCGGCTCCAACAGCATAGGCTTGGCCTTGCCTTCCCTCAGGTGGGATACCTGGAGGTCTCCGCCTACCTCAGTCAGTTGTCCAATCACACCTGGGGGAAGCGTTGCCAAGGAGACCGGGCCAGGTAGGGGAGGGATTACCTGCCCACACAATAGAGGGAGGATCTTACCTGGGAATCCTCACTTGGCTCCAGAGCTTCTCCCACCCTACCCACCCTCAGTTAATGTCTTATTTTGCAGGTTAACTTTTCTTCACAGGTTTTGCAGGTTAACTTTTCTTCACAGGTATGTGGGCGCTGCTACGTTAAGGTCGCTGTTACAGGGCTGGAAAGGAATTTCCCTGCATTGGCAGGTTTCGCCTTTCCCGTAGCAAAACGTCACAACTTTGGTGGTATCAGGCCTTGAGCGGAATCCTTTAGTCCATCTTCCTCTTTGCGGCGGCGATACCAGGGTTCCCCGTTAAAGGGGTTTCTGAAGGGAGGCTTTGACTGTCGTCATTGCTCTCCCCTGCGGCAGCGGCGTAACGGGGGCAGCTATCTCTGCTTGAACATATGTTCTCCAGAGCCGGCCCATCCCCCCACACACACACTGGATAACCCTGATGCTCCCTAGGTCCCCGGCTGGGGACTGGGGAGGGAGAACGCCCAATGCCTGAGCCAAGGTCTACCCACATTTGAAATTTAATAAAGTTGTGGCCAATTTAATCCCATAGCACGTTGTCTTGAGTCGTTATTCCACATGACGGGGGGGGGACCGCTCGGGATCTGGGGACTCCGCCTGTCCACGCAAAGGTCTTCGCTTGCATTACAAGCTTCTAAATCTGGCCCGTGGATGGTCCAGGAATCAGCGTGTTTTTACATGAATGTGCCCTTTTATAATAATAATAATAATAATAATAATAATAATAATAATAATAATAATTATTATTTTTATTTATACCCCACCCTCCCCAGCCAAGGTCAGGCTCAGGGCGGCTAACAAGCAATAATAAAAACAAGTTCAATGAATACAACTTAAAAACAACATTAAAATATTTAAACATTAAAATGCAGCCTCATTACAGGAGGAAAAAGGAAAAAGAGGGGGAGGGAATCAAACTGGCTTCAAGCCAAAGGCCAGGTGGAACAACTCTGTCTTGCAGGCCCTGCAGAAAGAAATCAGATCCTGCAGGGCCCTGGTCTCATGAGGCAGAGCGTTCCACCAAGTTGGGGCCAGTACTGAAAAGGCCCTGGTCCTAGTTGAGACCAATCTAACCACCTTGCGACTTGGGACCTCCAAAGTGTTGTCATTTGTGGACCTTAAGATCCTCCGTGGGGCATACCGGGAGAGGCGGTCCCGTAGGTACGAGGGTCCTAGGCCGTGTAAGGCTTTAAAGGTCAAAACCAGCACCTTAAACCTGACCCTGGACTCCATCAGGAGCCAGTGCAGCTGGTAAAGCACTGGATGAATGTGATCCCGCAGCAAGGAAATGTTATCAGAGCCGCTTTTATCGTGCATTTACAGGCAGGGAACGGGGGTCAGGTGTTTTTACCGTGTCTGAAGAAAGCAAAAAAACCAGCCTGTCTTGTTCTGGGCCTTTTAACAGCCTTTTCTATCGAAATCGGCAAGTTAAGCATAACACAACATAACTTGACGGATGCTCTGGTAACCTCGAGGTTAGCTTATTGCAACACGTTATACTTAGGGCTGCTTCTAAAGGCTGCTCAGAAACTTCAGCTGGTGCAGAATTGTGAAGCCAAGCTGGGCAAGAAGGTTTGAGCATATTATAAGCAATCCTGGGCCAACTGCACTGGCTGCCAATTACCGTATTTTTCGCCCTATAGGACTCACTTTTCCCCCTCCAAAAAGGAAGGGGAAATGTGTGTGCGTCCGATGGGGCGAATGCAGGCTTTCGCTGAAGCCTGGAGAGCGAGAGGGGTTGGTGCGCACCGACCCCTCTCGCTCTCCAGGCTTCAGGAAACTCTGCGCAAGCCACGGGAGCCCTCCCCCGGCTTGCGCAGAGCTGCCTCTTATCCCGAAGCCCCGGCGCGCTGAGCAGTCGCGCCGGGGCTTTGGGTAGCTCCACGCAAGCCGCGGGAGGGCACCCACGGCTTGCGCAGAGCAGCCTGTTCTGGGAGCTGGGGTCGGGGGAAGCTCGGGCTTCCCCCGCCCCAGCCCCGCGCCTGGGGGGGGGGAAATAAAAAACTAGGTGCGCCCCCAAAAAACTAGGTGCGCCTTATGGGCCAGTGCGTCCTATGGGGCGCAAAATACGGTAGTTTCCGGGTCCAATTCCAAATCAAATTACAGGAATTTGTGGAGACGGCTCAATTGACTAGCAAACTCAGAGGAAACTCAAAGCAAAAATTTGCGGAAGAATGGGATGGTTATAGAAGATATGTTCAAAAATACAGTAATAGTTTTGACTCTGTGCTAGCATTCTAGTGATAAAGGAATTAAAAGAAGTTGGACAACAATTAAGGATTTATTATGTTTTCAGAATGTATTGGAAAATATATATAGAAAGGTTTATTGTTGTGTGTACATTCGATTGTAAGATAAAATATATGCAAAGGGACTTGATAGGAAGTCAAAGCTGAAGAAAAGATTTTGTAAGATAAAAGGGGAAAAAATATTTACTTTCATTATTATCATTGTGTGTGTCTGTACATATGTGTGTTTTTGTATGGAATGTTTGGGAGGAAATAAGACAGTAAATAACAAATAAACTAAATATTGATGTATGTAATTTTGATCTATCAATTATATTTAGTGGTAGTATGGTTGTAATGTTTTTTGTAACATAAAATCATTCAATAACAATTATTTTTTTAAAAAAAGAAAAAAAAAGTTTCCGGGTCCAATTCAATGTGCTGGTTCTGACCTATAAAACGGCTCAGGACCGCAATACCTCAAGGATTACCTCTCTCTATATGAACCTACCCGGACCCTGAGATAGTCATCTAAGGCCCTTCTTGGTGCCTCCACCGCAAGAGGTCCGGAGGGTGGCAACACGAGAACAGGGCCTTCTCTGCAGTGGCTCCTCATTTTTTGAATGCTCTCTCAAGGCACCTTAGTTTCATATCTTCAGGCGCCAGACAAAAATTCTTCTCCTAGGCCTTTGGCTAATTAAACAATCTATGGCCTTTTATTTTATTTTATTTTTTCATGGTGAATCTTTATTGATTTAAAATATAGACGTAAATGATCATTTACAATGAAGGTAAGTATAGAAAAATTCAGTACAGAAGCAAAAACATCACGCCATAAGAATACGAATAAGAAAAAAGTTAAAAAGACGAAAAAGAAAAGAAAGAAAAGAGAAAGGAAAAAGAACCCCAAAATTTATACAAAATCATGTCCATCAATTAAAAATTTCTGCTTAAAACTTCCAGTCCTTCTCATTATACTATTTCTATTACCATGGTTTTGTTGCACAGCTTTGCGTTATATCCTTTTTCATATATTCCACTAAGGTATTCCACAATCTATGGCCTTTTAAACCAGGAGGGAATGATGTTTTCATTTGTTACTATGCTATGTGTTTGGGTTGTTTTTTACATTGTAACCTGCCTTGTGATCCTCGGATGAAGGGTGCTATAGAAATGTTGTTGTTGTTAATAAGATCTTTATTTCTTGCTTTCTTGCTTTTTGAAACATCATTGTTTAACTGGTTTTTAGTTGTCTTTATCGGAAGCTCTTTTGGATGCTTTGCACCGATTTTTTTTTGAAATAAATTACATCACCTGGTCGTTAGTTACTCATTTATAAGACTTCTTGCCCTGTCCTTCACCTAAGCTGCGAGGGCAGGTTATGGCAATAGAATCCCACAAGTAAAACCATTGCAAACAAGACTCCAAAGTTTACGAGAATACGGGAAATGGACCCATATTTCAGACACCAGAAACAGCCCAATTTCTAGGGTGAAGTTTCAGGTTAACATTTGCAGCTGTCTGTCTTCTCTGTTGTTCATTTCCACTCTCCAGAGTACTGTATTTTTCGCTCTATAGGACGCACTTTTCCCCCTCCAAAAATGAAGGGGAAATGTGTGTGCGTCCTATGGAGCGAATGCAGGCTTTTGCTGAAGCCTGGAGAGCGAGAGGGGTCGGTGCGCACCGACCCCTCTCGCTCGCCAGGCTTCAGGAAGCTATCCGCAAGCCTTGGAAGCTTGGCGGGAGTTCCCGCTGGGCTCCCAAGGCTTGCAGATAGCAGCCTCCAAACCTGACCTGGTTTGGAGGCTGGCGGTGGGGAAAGCAGCACTCTCCCCCCCCCCCCCCGCCAGCCCCAAAGAGCAGGTCGAAAGGAACCCAAAGCTTCCAGAGCCTCCAGAGGCTTTGGGTGAACGCACCTTGAACGCACAGAATGCACCTTGACTTAGAGGGGGAGAACAAGAAAAAAACATTTCCCCCCCCCCGTTCTCCCCCTCCTATGGTCCAGTGCGTCCTATGGTCTGGTGCATCCAATAGAGCGAAAAATACGGTAAATTGATTCTACCTTTGTAAGCCATATCTCATTTTAGAAAGCAAAAGGCTTAGAGAACACCACCATTGGCTATTCCTCAGTGGCCCTTGTCAAAGCTACAGAACTCGAACTATGAAAGGCTGGCAGCCAGGAGGAACCTAGCTCGCTCATTGCCTCATCCTCTTTTGAGATATTTTATCTGCACAACTTGTCGTTTTTTGGCTTTCCATCCAGCTCTTGCTGCGACTACGATGCAAGGAGTTGCTGAACCCACACCTTGTACTTTCCTCAAAGCCACCCTGGGTGCATGTCACAAGATTATAACACCCTGCATTATTCAGCCCAGACCCTGAGGTCCAGCTCCGAGGGCCTTCTGGTGGTTCCCTCCCTGCGAGAAGTGAGGTTACAGGGAACCAGGCACAAGGGCCTTCTTGGTGGTGGCGCCCGCCCTGTGGAACGCCCTCCCATCAGATGTCAAGGAAATAAACAACTATTCTACTTTTAAAAGACAACTGAAGGTGGCCCTGTTTAGGGAAGTTTTTAATGTCTGATTCTGTATTGTTTTTAATATTCAGTTGGAAGCCGCCCAGAGTGGCTGGGGAAACCCAACCAGATGGGCGGGGTACAAATAATAATAATAATAATTTATTATTCTTATTATTCTTATTCTCATTATATTTATTTAAGTTATTTTTTTACTATTTTATTAAAGTTATTAAGTTATTATTATTATTTTATTTAAGAAGTGAGGGCAGAGGGCCTTCTTGGTGATGGCACCCGCCCTGTGGAACGCCCTCCCATCAGATGTCAAGGAAGTAAACAACTATCTGACTTTTAGAAGACATCTGAAGGCAGCCCTGTTCAGGGAAGTTTTTAAAGGTTGACGTTTTTCTGTGGCTTTATATGTGCTATAAGTCTTCCAGAGTGGCTGAGGAAACCCAGGGTATAAACTATTATTATTATTATTATTAAGCACAGAGACGGAGGACCTCTGAGGCCTGAGATGTTATGGAACATCAGCCCCCATCAGCCCCAGGGGAGAGGGGTTGTAGTCCTCCACAGCTAGAGGGCGCCAGTTCTCTATCCCGGCCTTAAGAGATGAAGGCCAACAATGGCAAAACCACCACCCTTCCACTAACGAACCCATAAAACAGGCTTTTCTGCAAGCCCAGCATGGCCAGAACAATAAGACCGAAGCAACGCGGACTGGCCTTTTCAAAGAAGGCTTCTCCCAATTAATTTATTTTTTTAAAAAAAGGAAGCCAGAGGAAAAGAGGTTGCAGCAGTACTTACTCGGATGGGGAAGTAGTCCCGGAAATACCTCCAGACAGCCCAGTTTCTGACCCACTGCGATCTTCTACCACCTTTTGGGATAAAAAAAAATATTAATAATGGAGCAGCTGTCAGTGGTTGATCAGAAAGAACTGATGAAAGAGACCAGGCATGGCATGTGCAGTTGTCAAGGTCTGGGTGGATGCAGAGGAAGGGGAGGGGAAGCAACTGGGGCCGCCGCCCCCCCATGGGAAGAAGACGCAGAGCCTGGGAAATGGGTTCTTTTAAAAAGAAACAAAAACCCAAGGAAGGCCCTGGATCACCTCCAGGGGTGCCAACTTAAATAAAATACTGGAGGGCAGGTAACACCCACCCCACAAAATCAATCACAAGACGCGGCACACACAGACCATTGGAATGGCATCGCCCATCAACTCTGGGGGCGCCCAGATCCCTGAGATATTTTATGGGATCTCAGAACCTAGGAGTTGGCTCCTAGAATCGCCTCTGTTTAAAGCAGGCATAGGCAAACTCGGCCCTCCAGATGTTTTGGGACTACAATTCCCACCATCCCTGACCACTGGTCCCGTTAGCTAGGGATGATGGGAGTTGTAGTCCCAAAACATTTGGAGGGTCGAGTTTGCCTATGCCTGGTTTAAAGATTTGCTGTAACCCTCCCTCCTTTTGGAGAAGGGTGGGTGATAAATAGAATATGTAACTAACAATAACGATTCCTGCTGGTATCAACAGAGTATCAACACAGCAAAGGAATGGGTGGACTGGGGTTCAAATGGGTCCGTGCTCACTGTACTAAACTCCTACTTGGAAAATGGGTGTGAATTCACCCACAGGGTTTCAACTTTGTTGTTGTTTAGTCGTGTCCGACTCTTCGTGACCCCCTGGACCAGAGCACGCCAGGCACTCCTGTCTTCCACTGCCTCCCGCAGTTTGGTCAAACTCATGCTGGTAGCTTCGAGAACACTGTCCAACCATCTCTTCCTCTGTCGTCCCCTTCTCCTTGTGCCCTCCATCTTTCCCAACATCAGGGTCTTTTCCAGGGAGTCTTCTCTTCTCATGAGGTGGCCAAAGTCTTGGAGCCTCAGCTTCAGGATCTGTCCTTCCAGTGAGCACTCAGGGCTGGTTTCCTTCAGAATGGATAGGTTGGATCTTCTTGCAGTCCATGGGACTCTCAAGAGTCTCCTCCAGCACCAGAATTCAAAAGCATCAATTCTTCGGCGATCAGCCTTCTTTATGGTCCAGCTCTCACTTCCATACATCACTACTTGGAAAACCATAGCTTTAAATATATGGACCTTTGTCGGCAGGGTGATGTCTCTGCTTTTTAAGATGCTTTAATGGCCCTCAACCAGCTCATCACTAAACCCAGACCCTGGTCCATGCCCGATTCAGATGTTATGCAGAACTAGAGCTGTGTGTCTTCAGCATGCTGGAGACATTTTGCTCTGAATCCTCTAGTGCGGGCATGGCCAAACTTGACCCTCCAGATGTTTTGGGACTACAACTCCCATCATCACTGACCGCTGGTCCTGTTAGCTAGGGATGATGGGAGTTGTGGTCCCAAAACATCTGGAGGGCCGAGTTTGTCTATGCCTGGTTCAAAGGCTTGGAAAGCATGCAGATTTTCCCCTTTTAAAAAAATCTGCATGGATTTGAGATGAAGCAGACTGGGCACTCGGCTTATGTGCAAGGGATACGGACCACATTGAGGCTACTGCCTCCACCTCGATGCATAAAATCATAGAATTGTACAGTGGTAACCCAGGTTAAGAACTTAACTCGTTCTGGAGGTCCGTTCTTAACCTGAAACTGTTCTTAACCTGAAGCACCACTTTAGCTAATGGGGCCTCCCGCTGCCGCCGGAGCACGATTTCTGTTCTCATCCTGAAGCAAAGTTCTTAACCCGAGGTATTATTTCTGGCTTAGCAGAGTCTGTAACTTGAAGTATCTGTAACCTGAAGCGTATGTAACCCGAGGTACCACTGTATTGTTGGAAGGGACCCTGAGGGCATAGCTGTCAACTTTCCCCTTTTCTTGCAAGGAATCCTATTCGAAATAAGGGGATTTCCCTTAAAAAAAGGGAAATGTTGGCAGCTATGCCCTCAGGGTCCCTTCCAACCCGCTGCAATGCAGGAATCTTCTTGCCCAACGTGGGGCTCGAACCCCCAGCCTTGAGACGTCGAGTCTCCCGCTCTGCCGACTGAAGCTATTCGCCTACCTTTCTTCGGAGTGTTCCAGTCAAACACGAGCCAGGCCAGGTACGCGGCTGCAATCAGCCAGCAGTCCGTACAGAGGATGTACATGAGGATAACAGTGCAGGCCACACCTAGGGCAGAGATGAAGAGCAAGGAGAATTAACTCATTTTGCTAAGAAGGGATTTGTCCTGGCATACAAACACACACCCTCGCCTCTTGAACCCTTCTGCCTCGCTCTTTGCCTGCCTCCCCTGCCCGGCCAAGCTAAATCGGATTGTGTTGTTTAAGGCTTAAGTGACATCACAGCCGACCGGCTAAGCCCTCTGCACAGATTCATCCAAAAAAAGCTTTCTCCAAAGCCACCTCAGGTTACTCCGAAGAGATATTTACCAGCCGGCTTCAGAGTTTACCTGGGTCACACGCTCCCAGATGTTTTCAACTTTAGGATGTGCCAATATTAGATTCTCATGTTTCAAGGCTTACATTTGTGCCAAGAACGTGCCAATATCAGATTTTCATTTTTCAAAGCTTCAGTTTAATAATAATAATAATAATAATAATAATAATAATAATAATAATAATTTATTATTTATACCCTGCCCATCTGGCTGGGCTTCCCCAGCCACTCTGGGCGGCTTCCAACTGAATATTAAAAACAATACAGCGTCAGACATTAAAAACTTCCCTAAACATGGAACAAAGCTTCCACAGCAGTTTGTTGGTGGTGGGAAATGAAGCCCTTGTTGAAAAATCAACCCATGTGATATACCGTATTTTTCACTCCATAAGGTGCACCGGACCATAAGGCGCACCTAGTTTTTAGAGGGGAAATCAAGAAAAAAAGCCTGTCCGCTTCTCCCAGAGCTTCTGGGGCTGCCGGGGGAAGCCCGGGTCCCCCCCAGCCCCAAAGGTCCATCCCGCCCGCTGTCTTGGCTTCTGCCATAGCTGCACGCAGCCTCTCCCGGCCGGAGGGGCGGCTAGTGGCTAAAGAAGCCAATACTTGGCTAAAGTCTAAAGAAGAGGCTAAAGAAGCCAAGACTTGGCTTCCTCTTTACCCGCGCGCAACCTCTCCAGCTGGGAAAGGCTGCGCGCGGCTAAAGAAGCCATAGCTGCGGGCAGCCTCTCCCGGCCGGAAGGGCTGCGCGTGGCTATGGCAAAACCCCCACCTCTCGCAAAAGCGCACAGGAGCTGTGCACCCTTTAAGGAGCACGCAGCTCCTGCGGGCTTTTCTACGAGGAGGGAGAAGGGACTGACTGGACCGCATCAGTCCCTTCTCCCTCCTGAGGAAAAGCCAGCAAGAACTGCGCCGAGCTTGTGTGCGGCTCTTGAGGGCTTTTCCTGCCTGCCTCCCCCCTGCATTCGCTCCATAAGACGCACACACATTTCCCCTTACCTTTTAGGAGGGGAAAAGTGCGTCTTATGGAGCGAAAAATACGGTAATGCCTTTTAATATGTTATTTTCACCCACATGTGCATTTATGTACACACTTTGCCCAGTTTGCTATGCGTTACTTGGTGGGAGAACTGCCTGGCAAAATTCAGAGAAGTGCAAATTTCAAAAGGACAGGTGTGTTTTCGTTTGCTTCTTGTTTCGGAAAGTGGGACTTAGGTAGGCTTGCATTTGAATAAGAACCAATTCGAATTTCTCCGTCATCCCAAACTACAACTCCCAATCAGCCACAGCCAGTGCAGCTCAGGCTAACAGGCTGGTGTGGAAACTATGTGCAGCCAACATACCAATTTCTCCAAGATCGCTAACACTCACAGTGTTAGAAACTCAGATATATAAGCTAGTTGCCAAATGGCACCTAAACCTAGGTTATGGTTGCCGCAATTGAATGTCTAAGTGTCTTTTTAAAATAATAATAATAAAGCAATGAGGTTTCTTATTCAGGACAATACCTCAAGGACCGCCTCTTTCCATATGAACCTACCTGGACCCTGAAATCATCTTCTAAGGCCCACCTTCGTGTGCCTACTCCTTGAGAGGTCCGGAGGGTGGCAACATGAGAACAGGGCCTTCTCTGCAGTGGCTCCCTGTCTGTGGAATACTCTCCCCAGGGAACTGATTTACATCCTATGCCCTTTTAAAATGTATGTTTTTTGGAGGAAGAGGGGGCTATTGGGGTGTTGTTTTTATTTCTATTATGTATTTTGTGGTTCTATATCTTGATTCTGTTCTGTGAACTGCCCTGAGACCCCCGGGTGTAGGGCGGTATATAAATTAAATTAAAATAAATATTAATTTCACTTTTATGCTGCTTTGTATTTTAAAGGGGGGGGAATCTCAAAGTAGTTTACAACGCATTAAAACATCAAAGCAAACAATCCTGAATATAACAAACTCAAGCTTCAAGGGAAATATTTCAGATCCTTCTCTAAGGGACATTTTGCTTTCCCCATATTTGTTTACCAGCTTAATTTATAGAGTTGCCTCATGGCAGAAGGACTCTAGGAAACCAGGGTGGTGTAGTGGTTAGAGTATCAGTCGCCAACCTGGCAACCAGAGCTCTCCACGTGGTTGCAATCGGACCTATGCCAGTCGCAAAACGTGCCCGGCTAATTTCGAACACTGACCAAGTCTGAGGGCTCATCCAGACTTCCTGTTACACCGTCCATGCTTTAAAGCTCTGCGTCCCAGGAAAACCCGCTCTTTAACGCTGAATCGGAACAAACAGCGGTTCGGATTTCCCACGGATTGCTGTTTGTTCCGACTCGGCACTAAAGAGCAGGGTTTTACAGGGATAGCGCCAGGGCAAAAAGAAAACAATGTTCAGACATGAAGCTTTAAACCGTGCCTAGAAACGCAGGACAAAAGGCAGTCTGGATGAGCCCTGTGCTCTTGCACTTTGCACACCGATAAGAAAACAACAACATGTTTATATGCGAGGGGAGCAAGAGGGAAGGACCGGTGCCTGCAAGGAACGTTCAGCTCCTGCTATGCTCAAAGGGCAAACTGGGTACAGGTTGTTTTGCCCCATGGGGCAAAGTTCAGACGAACATAAGCACTCTGCTGGATCAAGGCAAAGGACCATTGAGTTCAACATCCTGTTTACCAAATGCCAGCAGGAAACTCAAAGCAGGATACGACCACAAGAGCCTTCTCCTGTTCTTCAGAGGTGCAGCACCTCTGATCCCAGAGGCACCCATTACCATTAGGACCCCAAGCCATCGATTGCTCCGTCCCCCATGAATTGGTGGTGGTGGTTGTTAAAATCTGCATACCACCCTATTCCCGCAGCAGTTCGCAAGATAAAATCGCAGGATAAAAACACAAAATACATAATAAAAACAACTCAATGATCCCCTCTCCCCAACACATTTGAAAGGGCACCCGTCAGACAAAGGCCTGCTTAAAGAGGAACGTTTTTGCCTGGTGCGTAAAGGTGTATAACGAAGGTGCCAGGCGAGTCTCCCTGGGGAGAGCATTCCACAAATGGGGAGCCACTGCAGAAAAGGCCCTGTTCTCGGGTTGCCACCCTCTGGACCTCACATGGAGGAGGCAAACAAAGAAAGGCCTCAGAGGGTCCGGGTCAGGAGAGAGGCAATTCTTGAGGTATTGCAGTCCTGATCCGTTTGTTTTGCCATTCACTACCTCAGGCATGGGTGGCGCTGTGGGTTAAACCACGGAGCCTAGGACTTGCCGATCAGAAGGTCGACGGTTCAAATCCCCGCGACGGGGAGAGCTCCCGTTGCTCGGTCCCTGCTCCTGCCCACCTAGCAGTTTGAAACTAGCACTTTGAAAGCACGTCAAAGTGCAAGTAGATAAATAGGTACTGCTCTGGCGGGAAGGTAAATGGCGCTTCCGTGCGCTGCTCTGGTTCGCCAGAGCTGGCCACATGACCCGGAAGCTGTACGCTGGCTCCCTCGGCCAATAAAGCGAGATGAGCGCCGCAACCCCAGAGTAGTCCGTGACTGGACCTAATGGTCAGGGGTCCCTTTACCTTTACCTCAGGCATTACCCCACTCATATCAAAACCAATCACATTCAGCAATATGACAACCTACATAAAAAGGGCCATTGCCAAGCCTGTATTTATAAGATACACTCCTAATATCTGGAGCGCTAATACCTTGACTCCTCCCGGGCCATCTCATGCTCCTCTCCCATCTCTCACCTGAGAGGGGCCCAATTCCATACGGCAGCGGGCTCTCACCCTCGAGGGTGCAGAACTACTTTTATCCACTCAGTTCTGCATAGGAAAACCATCCTCTGCAGAGTTGCTAAGCAACCACAGTCAGGATACAGCTTTTTTGCAACCTGCGAAAGGGATGCCTTAGCACCAGAGAAAAGGTGGGGCGGCTGTAGCCCTGCAGGTGGGGTTCTCAGGTTGCATTGCCCATGGTGGGGAAAACGAGGGCCAGATTCCCCTCAAAGCCACATGACAGGGTTGGGTGGGGCCAGGAGCAGAGGTGGCCAGAGCAATGGGTGCAAATGTTACCTTCGTAAAGTTAAAGGTAAAGGGACCCCTCACCATTAGGTCCAGTCATGACAGACTCTGGGGTTGTGGTGCTCATCTTGCTTTATTGGCCGAGGGAGCTGGCGTACAGCTTCCGGGTCATGTAGCCAGCATGACTAAGCTGCTTTTGGCGAACCAGAGCAGTGCATGGAAATGCTGTTTACCTTCCCGCCGGAGCAGTACCTATTTATCTACTTGCACTTTGACGGGCTTTCGAACTGCTAGGTTGGCAGGTGCAGGGACTGAGCAACGGGAGCTCACCCTGTCACGGGGATTCGAACCGCCACAGAGCCTTGGGCTTGCAGATCAGAAGGTTGGCGGTTCGAATCCCCGCAACGGGGTGAGCTCCTGTTGCTCAGTCCCTGCTCCTGCCAACCTAGCAGTTCGAAAGCACGCCAATGGAAGTAGATAAATAGGTACCGCTCCAGCAGGAAGGTAAACGGCGTTTCTGTGTGCTGCTCTGGTTCGCCAGAAGTGGCTTAGTCATGCTGGCCACATGACCTGGAAGCTGTATGCCGGCTCCCTCGGCCAATAAAGCGAGATGAGCGCTGCAACCCCAGAGTCGTCCGCGACTGGGCCTAATGGTCAGGGACCCTTTACCTTTACCTTTAGGGACCCTTTGGGGGAAGCCATAATCTTCTGTGAATCCCGAGTTTACCACGAATCAGGTCTGTTGGGACCGCCTCACATTCTAAGAATATATGAAACGCCCATATTTGCCCTCTGATGTTTGAGGAACATCCTGTTATTTACTCAGCACTATCCGTTTAAGGCATGTTAGCACGCTTCCAAAAAAACAGAGGCACATGAGCTTCCCTGGGCAAGCTCTGCCTCGTGCCGCCCCGGCTGAAGAACACGGCACTCCAAAGCTTGCCAGCAGGGAGACGGAGAACAAAATATAACAAGAGGACTGCCAACAAATGCAGGCCACTTTTGGACATCATCTTGGCACCGAGTGTGTTTTCTTCACATGCAATATTTAGCATTCCCAAGGTCCGGGGAATGAGGATGCCATCGTACCTCCATTGAACGGAGGGGTTGGCAAGGCTTACCAGGCACGGCGCAGCACAGGGACTCTCTTCCGTGGCTCCGGAAATCGCTTCTGTGCAGCGCAAGGCAGGAAATCGCATCTGTGCATGTCTGTGGCACCGGAAATCACTTCTGCGCATTCCCAGATGCTGAAAATCGCGCAGACACAATTTCCGGCGTCTGGGCATGCACAGAAGCGATTTCCAGAGCCGTGGAGGAGAGTCCCCGCGCTGCGCTGTGCTGGTTTAGGGGCAGCTCATGGGCCGGTTAAGCAACCCTCACAGGCCACTTCCGGCCCATGGGCCTTAGGTTGCTGACCTCTGATTTATCGCTTGCCACTTGAAGGAGGCTACGTTTTGAAGTGAGGCCTGCAGCAATATGTCCCCGTCACCCACATTCAGTTAGATTTTTTTTTATCCACCAAGCACTGGGCTGTTTTGGGGTTTGTGAAGGTCTCCCTAGCTTGTCAACACTTCCAGGGTTCCAGCAAAACCTGCTCCCTCTCGTGCAAAGATGGTGTTGTTTTGGCAGTCGGGGAGCTGAAGAAGACTGGAAATATGAAACGGGGGTGGTACTTAGATCTCGTTGCTGTTGAGGGTGAAACTATGGCGACGGAGGTGTTCGGGTTCCCAGGAGTCTACCAGGAATTGGCTGCTTGGTTCAAACCAATGCAGAACTCACTCCTAGCTCCAACAAAATTAAAAAATTCCTTCCAGTAGCACCTTAGAGACCAACTAAGTTTGTTATTGGCATGAGCTTTCGTGTGCATGCACACTTCTTCAGATATGTGCATTTCGTGCATGCACACAGATTTCATGCATGCACACGAAAGCTCATACCAATAACAAACTTAGTTGGCCTCTAAGTTGCTAAAGGAAGGATTTCTTTTTTATTTGTTTCGACTACGGCAGACCAACATGGCTACCTACACTAGCTCCAGTCCTATTATTATTATTATTATTATTATTATTATTATTATTTATATACCGCCCTATACCCAAAGGTCTCAGGGCGGTTCACAGAAAAGATCACAATATATAAAATCAAAATAAAAACAATAACTCAATAACACTGCTCCGCAAAAAAGGCACATTTTAAAAGGGTATAGGATGTCATCCAGGTCAACCAAAGGCCTGGTTAAAAAAGAACACTTTTGCCTGGCGCCTAAAGGTGTATAATGAAGGAGCCAGGCGAACGTCCCTGGGGAGAGCATTCCACGGATGGGGAGCCACTGCAGAAAAGGCCCCGTTCTCGTGTTGCCACCCTCCTGACCTCTCGAGGAGGAGGCACATGAAGGAGGGCCTCAGAAGATGATCTCAGAGTCCGGGTAGGTTCATATGGAAAGAGACTGTCCTTAAGATATTGTGGTCCTAAGCTTTATAGGTCAAAACCAGCACTTTGAATTGGGCCCGGAAACCAATTGGTAGCCAGTGCAGTCAGACCAGTAAGACACTATTTCTCAATTGACTGGGGTTGGGGGAATCTAAGCATAAAACAAAATGTGCTTTGTAAAAACCCTGTAGAACACGAATGAGGAACTTCACACCCAGGGGCTAAACATGGTCCTGCGGACTCCCTTCCAGGACACACCTGTTGCCAGCCCTGCTTTCCTCTCCATTGGAGTGCTTCAACAACAACAACAACTGGCTGGGCTTCCCCAGCCACTTCTATCTGGCTAGAATGTGTCCTTCAATTCTTCTTGGTTGCTTTTGAGTGTGTCTAGAAACTAGCCTTCTGTACACAGGTAGAATCATGGAATGGTAGAGTCAGAAGGAACCCCAAGGTTCATCTAGTCCAGCCCCCTCAGGGTCCCTTTCCAATTCTTCAGTCCTATGAGTCTACGATCCCCTTGGCTGGAGATGCACAGACTGTTAGAATTCCTGCTCCATGACTGCAGTCATGGGATTCTTGTCTTTCACATGACGGTGTATGTTTTGACTCCACAGAGTGGGGAGTGACGGAGACAGGATGTTTGTGTTACTGTGTTCTGTGAAGTAGGACTATTGTCCTTTGTCCTTTTTCTCTTTGCTGTCTGATGCTAGAGAGAAGGGGAGCCATGTTGCAGTTCCCCCTGTGTAAAGTTAAAGGTAAAGGGACCCATGACCATTAGGTCCAGTCGTGGCCGACTCTGGGGTTGCGGCACTCATCTCGCTTTATTGGCCGAGGGAGCCGGCGTACAGCTTCCGGGTCATGTGGTCAGCAGAGCAGCTCAAGGAAACGCCGTTTACCTTCCCGCCGGAGCGGTCATTATTTATCTACTTGCACTTTAATGTGCTTTCGAACTGCTAGGTTGGCAGGTGCAGGGACCGAGCAATGGGAGCTCACCCCGTTGCGGGGATTTGAACCGCCAACCTTCTGATCGGCAAATCCTAGGCTCTGTGATTTAACCCACAGCGCCACCCGCGTCCCGCTCCCTGTGTGTTTATATGTAAATAAAGTAGACTAGCCAAAATGCTGAGTTGCTGAGGTCTGTTACGCATGATGCACAAGCTCTGCGGATCCCTCAGTGTGCCGGTGTCAGTTGGCATCGGTCACTGGGATGTTCGGGCAGAAGAAATCTTTTGAAGCTCCTGAACGATCGACCAGGAGGGAGGAATCATGCCAATCTGGCATGTGTCTCTGCCAGGGTCCTACTCGAGTGTAGGCCGAGCTCCTGACACAGACATGGTTTAAAAACAGACCTGCCAACCAACCGCCGACTTGAAAACAGAAAGGCACTTGGCTTACCCATGATGAGGAAACTCAGCACCCATTGTAGTACTGAGATGATCTGCAGTTGCTTCTCTACTTTAGACTTAGACAGCCAGGACAGATCCTGAAACGCGGAGAGGATACTGGACCCCGTGCCTGGAGAGAGAAAGGGGGGGGGGAGAGAAAAGGAGAAAGGCTTGGTCACCAGGTCCTTTGGCAGAAACGAAAAGTATGCACAGAGTCTCAAAATTGCAGTCGCTTTCTGATTGTAGGAATTAAGACATATAAACCATGGTCCTATTTACTTGTTGGTCCTCTGCGTGAAAGGGGAACTGGGCCACACATCCTGGCATTAATAATAATAATAATAATAATAATAATAATAATAATGGGACAGAGGAACTTACGGTCTTCAAATAAAAACATCCTGAAGGTCCCAGGCCACAGAGAGTTTAGGCTGGCCTCAACTAGAGCCAGGGCTGGGGAGGGCAGGATATAAATAAAATTTATTTATTATTATTATTATTATTATTATTATTATTATTATTATTATTATTATTGTATTATTTATATCCCGCCCATCTGGCTGGGTTTCCCCAGCCACTCAGGGCAGCTTCCAACAGAATATTAAAATACAATAGTCTATTAAACATTAAAAGCTTCCCTAAACAGGGCTGCCTTCAGATGTCTTCTAAAAGTCTGGTAGTTGTTCTCTTTGACACCTGGTGGGAGGGCGTTCCACAGGGCGGGTGCCACTACCAAGAAGGCCCTCTGCCTGGTTCCCTGTAACTTGGCTTCTCGCAGGGAGGGAACTGCCAGAAGACCCTCGGACCTGGAAAGACCCTTCGGACCTGGACCTCAGTGTCCGGGCAGAACGATGGGGATCCAAATGGTCCGCTTCTTCCAGGCGTGCCCATAAGCCCCACCCACCACGCCATGACCTCCAGAGAAGGATTCGGCCAGGGGTAGCCAATGAGGTGCACGGCAGAAGTCATTGGACTACAACTTCCATCAGCCTTAGCCAGCATGGACATTGACCAGGAATGATAGGAATTGTAGTCCAACAACAACTGGAGGGTACCACTTTGACTACCTACCCCTAGTCAAAGGATTAGGTCTAGAGCAGGGTTTCCCAAACTTGGGTTTCCAGCTGGTTTTTGGACTACAACTCCCATCATCCCTAGCTAGCAGGGCCAGTAGTCATGGATAATAATAATAATAATAAATCTGATTTATACCCTGCCCTCCCCAGCCAAGGCCGGGCTCAGGGCGGCTAACAAGCAATAATACAAACAAGTTGATTGAAATACAACTTAAAAAACAAGATTAAAATACAACTTAAAAAACAAGATTAAAATACAACATTAAAACATTGAAATGCAGCCTCATCACAGGAGGAGAAAGGAAAAAAGAAAGAGGGGGAGGGAATCAAACTGACTCCAAGCCAAAGGCCTCTTTCCTTGCCAAAGGCAACTCTGCCTTACAGGCCCTGCGGAAAGAAATCAGATCTTGCAGGGCCCTGGTCTCATGACACAAACCGTTCCACCAGGCCGGAGCCATCACTGAGAAGGCCCTGGCTCTGGTTGAGGCTAATCTGACTTCCTTAGGGCTCCCCGGGATCTCTAGGGTCCTGGGCCCTTAAGGTCCTCCGTGGGGCATACCAGGAGAGGTGGTCCCGTAGGTACGAGGGCCCTAAGCCACAAAGGGCTTTTAAGATCAAAACCAGCACCTGAAACCTGACCCTGTACTCCACCGGGAGCCAGTGCAACTGGAAAAGCACTGGGTGAATATGCTCCCATGGCAGGGACCCCGTGAGGAGCCTCGCTGCAGCATTCTGCACCCGCTGGAGTTTCTGGGACAGCTTCAAGGGCAGCCCCGCATAGAGCGAATTACAGTAGTCAAGCCTGGAGATGACCGTCGCATGGATCACTGTGGCCAGGTCGGGGCGGGAAAGGGAAGGGACTGACTGCTTGATGCGGCGAAGGTGGAAAAATGTCACCTTGGCTGTCCCTCCATGGACAGGGAGGTGTCAAGGATTACACCCAAACTCTTAACGGAAGGCAATGGCACTGATTGGGGCCCCGCAAGAGAAGGGAGTTGGTCCCTCATCCCCATGCCATCCCAACCCAGCCAGAGGACCTCTGTCTTCGAAGGATTTAGTTTCAATCGGCTAACACGAAACCATCCAAAAACAGCTGGAGACCCACGTTCTAGACCCTGCTCCCAGGCATTTAATAGTAAGCAGTGTAACAATGAAACTCATAGTTTTTGGTTAACAATTGGCGATTTCTTAATGGTGGCGATTTCGTTATTTTTATAAGGTGGTGTTGCTTTAATACTATGTAGGTAACAGACTGTGGCTGTTTTTAAAAAACACTTTATGTATTTGTAGTCATGTTTATTCGGCGTCCTTTCCCCCCCCAAAAGGCATGCAAGAAATATTTATTTGTTTGTATGCTTGCTGCTCTTGGGAGCCATTGGCAGACGGGTAGCATAAAAGCCACTTGAAAAATAAATATATGCAGAACTTGTGCCTAATTTTTGCAATAATGCAGATCCAACAAGACATAACCACCCTGGCTGGATCACGCCAAGGATCCAGCATTCTGTCTCACAAAGGCAGATCAGATGCCTCTGAGATGTTCACAAGGAGAACATTAATTCAAAGTCTTGGAACTGGTATTCAGCTGGTCTAGTCAGCAATAGACCACATTGTCCGTGATAATCTGCCCAGTCTCTTTATAAAGAAGCATAAACCAGTTCTTTTCACAGCTGAAATATACTGACAACGCCTGTGAGCACAATCTCAACACCCTCATTTGCAGCATTCTCCTTAAAAAGGCTCACAGAAAACGTTACAAGCCCAATACAGTACAGTGGTACCTCGGTCTACGAACAGCCCTGCTAACAAACTATTCGGTATACGAACTACGCAAAACCGGAAGAAGGTGTTCCGGAGTTAGCGAACTTTACCTCGGTCTACGAATGTAATCCAAACGGTGGAAGGGCACCGGCGGCAGGAGGCCTCATTAGGGAAAGCGCACCTTGGTTTAAGAACGGCTTTGGTTTAAGAACGGAGTTCCAGAATGGATTAAGATCGTAAACCAAGATACCACTGTACACAGCCTTCCTTAAACCTCACCCCAAGTCCGAGACTGCAGTGTTAGAAACTCAGGTGTATAAAGCCAGGTGAACCAGGGTTACAGTCGCCTTAACGGAATGTTTTCTTGCCATTTTGGGAACAGACGGCTCGAAAGTCGTCTTTTTCAATACGACTTTGGGGTTCTTGAAATTCATTCCGATTGTGCAGATAAAGATCACAGGTAGAATTCTACTGGATGTGTTTTTAGCGTGTGAAAACAGCCCCAATCCAAGGACCCCCAGGCATGCACCTCCAGATGGGGGAGACGTCAGGTGCCATCCTGCCGCCCAAGCATCTTCACTTGGTCACAAGTTGCCGATAGCCAGGTGCAAAATGTGCCTGGCACTTGGCGGATTTCGAATGCTGCTTTCACGTTTCTTACATTACATGAGTTTGCACTTGTCAGGGAACCGCAGCCGATCCTAACTCTGCCCAAGAGCGCATGTTTTCATACAGCTGGATGCAACGCGCCTGGCAAGTTGGATGCCAGCTCATCACCCTTCACAGTGGAAGAGGGGTCAATTTTGGACTTCCCATGGGGCACATCCAAACTCAAAATGTGTGGGATGTGATCCATAAGTAGCAGTCAAATACAACATTCCTTGTTTTCCTAGAGTGGACATGCAAGGGGATGTTTGGTCCAGCCAGTTGGAACTTCCTGTTTCCTCCTGGGCTGGGACATACTTCCTTTTGCATGTGACTAGAGGTGGGCGTGGGACTTGCCGATCTAAAGGTCGGTGGTTCAAATCCCTGCGATGGGGTGAGCGACTATTGCTCGGTCCCAGCTCCTTGGCACCCAGCAGTTCGAAAGCAGGCCAAAAAGTGCAAGTTTTTCCAGGTCATATGGCCAGCATGACTAAGCCACTTCTGGCGAACCAGAGCAGCGCACAGAAACGCTGTTTACCTTCCCACCAGAGCGGTACCTGTTTATCTACTTGCACTTTGATGTGCTTTCGAACTGCTAGGTAGGCAGGAGCAGGGACCGAGCAACGGGAGCTCACCCCATCGCGGGGATTCGAACCGCCGACCTTCTGATCGGCAAGCCCTAGGCTCTGTGGTTTAACCCACAGCACCACCTGCGTCCCATAAGGGAACTTACCGGGAAACTAATAGTAAGAGGCTTAAACAAGCCTGCAACCCGCTATCTTCTGTGCATTTAAAAAGGGGAATGTAAAACTCTGCTAAGTTATAGAACTTGCAAGCGCAAGTTAGGAAGGATATTAATCAGCAATATATCCTCTCCTGCCTCCCTGAACATTCCCACAAAATGCAGCTTTACACAAGAACAAGCTGCCATGTCTAAGCTTGGTTCCATGTGAGAAAGTCATACATACGGCAGACCGAGAGGGTGGTGGTGCAGGAATCCCTGCAAGTAAGTAATCTGCAAAGGAGCCACATGGACGCAATTCCATCGCTGTGGCATTCCCTGCCCATGTGGGCAGGGGGCTTGCCAGTTATGGGAAGAAAACAGCAACGCCAAAAGTCAACGACCTTTCAAATAGCCTTGGTCCCAAAGATCAGCAAAACAGAAGGCCTGAGATTGAGCCACGAGATCCCTGCCAACTTTTTGTTTCCTTACGTTGCAAGATTCCACAGGCGCTTGAACTTTCCGGCAGATGGACTATGGAAAGGGGAGGATTCGGCTAACACGCCCCCCTCCAAACCAAACCAAAACAGCCCAGGCTCCTTGTTTGCAAGCAGCTTTCGTCCATCCATAAATGGGCACAGAGGAAGTTACACACTGGCGGATCTCTGAGGGACAAGAAATCCCAAGATGACTCTTGGAGACCAGAATTTGCTTTTCGGTTTAACTTTTCACAAAGCCAGGAACAAGGCAATTGTGACTGTTTTCATCACCAGCTTGGGGGGGGGGGACTTGATTTACACAAACGTAACACAGACATGTAAATTTAAAAATGCATTTCAATGTTTTATTTCACAATATGCATTTTTAAAAAACAAGTTAACCTCACGTTTTTCAAAACGTAAAGAAAAGCAGGTTGTTTTTTTAATT